GTTTTGGATTCTTTTATGTTTTGTTGTAGACCGTTCCATTTAGCGATAGTAGAAGGAAAGAAGCTTTTATCGAATATTTCTCTATGAGTCTGGATCGAAGGTATGTCTAGATTATTTTGATATCTTGTACAGTACTGATGTTTTACCTTGCTTGGTAAACATGAGGATAAATATGGAGGAACAAGTCCTTTAATTATTTTATAAAATAAAATTAATTTATGCTGAAGAAAGAGTTTATCTAGTGGTAACCAACCTAAACACTGCAAAAGTTTTTCTTTACTTGTCAACCGCAGGGCTCCACTTACAGCTAACGCAGCCTGATATTGCAAGTTATAAAGCTCAGCTAAATGACTTTCACATGTCGATGTGTAGATGCAATCGGCATAACCTAATGTTTGTAGAAAAAATGACCTATAAATCTGTTCAAGGACAGTTGTAGACAGTTTATACTTGAGGAACTTCAATAAGTTAATTATTTTATAACATTTAGTAGTAATATATTTTATGTGGGCTTTCCAACTTAATTCTTTTGATATTACAACGCCTAAACTTTTATGCTCCGAACGAAGTCAAGTTGTGTTGTATCAATACAAACAGGGGCAACAGGCAGATTAGAGGATTTTCTTGAGAATAGCATACAGAAGCATTTGCCAATATTTAGAGGTAGTTGCTATTCCACTGACCAATCATATGCTTTTTTTAGATCATTGTTCATATCAACTATTACTTTCGTCCGGTCGTGATCGCAATGAGACATTGTTGTATCATCAGCAAACTTTCTGGTGATACACCCCATATCTGAGCCGAAATCGTCAATGTAGACTAAAAACAAGATAGAACCCAAAATAGACCCTTGAGGGACACCGCGATTTATATTTCTTGGCTTAGAGCTCTTCCCACTAACGATAGTTACAATCGATCTTCCAGTAAGATAACTTTGGAACCACCTTAACAAGTTTCCCCTAACTCCTTTTTTTTCTAACTTGTATAAGAGTGCTTTGATCCACACATTGTCATATGCTTTACTAAAATCAAGAAAAACTGCCAGCGTATCCTTGCTGTCTCTAATGTCTTTGCCGTTCTCAAGATCTTTATGTATATTATGAACAAATTCTATTAGTTGCGTGACTGTGCTATGCTTTCTGCGAAAACCAGATTGCATGGAATTTAACAGGTTATTTTTTGTTAGATGATCATATAGAGCATTAAACACTACACGTTCTATAACCTTTGAAAGAATGGGCTGAGCCCACATTTTGCTCTACATTAGGCTATGCTCATCTGAAACTTTTACAAAAAAGAGGCGGAGTACCCTTAAACGCATACAGTCAGCGAATTTAGATTGAAGAGAACTGAAAAAAGATTAATTTTCTTCACATGTAGCAGAATAAACGAAAAACCCGTACATAAGATAGGAAAAGCGTATGAATTATAAATTTGGTCTAGAACAGAAGTTTAGAATACGTTTTTATGTTAATGCATTAAAATTATGATATTTTCACTAAAAGATCGTTTTATTTTTAATGTTTTGGATCCTTTTTAGTACATGTTAATACACATGTAGACAGACACATATAAAGATAAATCTTTTCCAACATTGAAACCAAGATACACATACAGTGCGTGTAATGCAAACTTGTAGCAAAAACGTTTTTATACTTTACTATGTATCGTTGCCTTGAGCTCATTGAGCTGATTAAGAAAATGTATTTTTTAAGTTTTCAGAAAACATTTTCTCGTGGAAAGATCGAAAATACTTGAAGGATCTAAAATCCGAAAAATTCTTCAAGTTCAATAAACTTTTAATATTTCGGCTCTAGATGATTTGGAAGTCTTCAAACAATTTTACTCGAGTTCACTGTTAAAAAATGAATATTAAAATGGTATTTGGTCGATTTCGAAGTTAAAAGCCTGCCTAGCATGGGCGTCCTAAGCCACCCCTCTATAGTGCGGGCATGCAATTTTGTAAACCTATTTATTTCTTTGTGTTCAGGGCTGAAGCCAAGGGGGAAAAGCAGTTTCGGTATGTAATCGGTATTTTCGCTACTCTTCCAAGATGACTCATTTTATTTTGCTTAAAAAGCTCATTTGAGAGCTTCTTGAGATCTCAAAAATCAGCTTTTTATGAGATCTCCAGAAACCCAGATTTCGGTTCCGACAAGCAGAACAAAAGGGTTCTGTCTGTGGGAAAAGAACTCCAAGAACAGAACACAATTGCTCCTTTATCAGAAAAATTTCCGAATAAAAGAACAGGATTGTTCTGTTTTGGGGGAAATAAGTTTCAGTTGGTATTTGGGTATGTGAGTGGTATGTAACGGGTATATGAGTATTATATGTATTGTATTTTTTCCGATATTAATACTGCTTTTTTTTTGCTCAACTTTTAGGCAATAAAATATCATATTCGGAATCAGCGTCAAAAACTGTACATATCATCTTCTTCTTGCTTAAATTCTACGCTGAATAGGTAACATTGGAGGCTGTATGCTTCCTTTCTAACTGAGTTGAAAGAAATGATAAATTTGCAATTCTGTTTACGGTACTTTTTATTGTTTTCGAAAATAGATAGGTAGAAGACAATTTGTGTTCTAATACACTTTTGCATGTTTTTCTTGACCTGTTTCCTGTTGAAACTGGGTCAGTCCATCGTATTCCTTATTATTCCAGTTGAATATCAAATCATCCCCTGTCGAGTCCTTTCCATTTGGATGATATAAATTATAATCGAATGAATTGTCTTCATTTCCCTTAGGTAAGGTAAACATGACGATATTCTGGCTATTTGGTTTTAGGGTATTTTGCAGGACTTTATTTCGGGAGGCATATGAGACGACAATTTCGCCGTTACCAGTTTGCTGCCGATCGTTGTTTTCTAAAACATTATTCTGAAATGTACAGTTCTGAACACGGCCACGTCTGGAATAAAAAAAGCTCATGATAAAAGAATAGAAAAACAATACTAAAACTCTTACGCTGAATCGCCAAAAGCCAAACCCCCAAAGAGGACTTCAGACTAAGTGAAATTTTTCTTTATAAATTCGATGCGAGTATAAACAGTGGGAATAACGCTCTTTTTTTTATGAACACTCCATGTTTATTTGTATGTCTTGTAAACTTTTCATAGAAATTATCATCTTTCGTGTATGCTTAATATGGTTAGGAGAATAGATGATTAATTTCACAGAAAGTTGTAGTGCCTGAAGACTATGATTATATTTTCTGTTTTTTCCTAATAAGGAAAGACAAAAACACTCATCTGTTCTTTTTTGCCTTTTTTGGTCTCGTACATAAAGTCAGTATTCTTTATTTTCTTTTATTGTCATCATTATGATGACTAACTGCGTGTGAGATAGAGAACAGAAAGAATTAACATATATATTTACCAAGTATAGTACAGAACAGAAGTAAAAGTAAAAAACAAAGAAAAACATGACCGCAGCAGCTCCATTACGTAATTTTCAATGGTATTGGAATTCATCGACTACTGCTAATGATGATCACTGGACAGCTTACGCTGATATTGAAAATGAAATTATTGAAGAAGCGTTCCAGACTGGGAAGAGCGAAGTTGAAATTAGCTCCAATTATGTTATTAACTTTCGAAATCTGCTGCAATATAACAAGTTTAATGCAAGAAAACAACGTACAGTAAAACGCGACGATCTTTAACTCTTGTTGTCTAAATGAACATTGACCAAATATTGTAGTCATATGACAAAGAAAAAAATCGAATCTTGTTGACAAAAATTTTCTGATTTACTATAAATAAAAAATAAAAATTGTTGCGAAAAATGGCTAGTTTTGCAAGAAAAAAGAGCTATTTTTAACTGGCAAAAAAGTGAATTACAAAAGTTTACAACTGTTTAAAACTTTTTAAAAACTTAGAAAGGAGCAAAACATTTTTAAAAATGGTTATTTTCACACTAAATGCCCCGCGAGTTGTTACAGTTTATGTGAGAGACCAAAAACGGCAAAAAAGAACAGATGAGTGTTTTTGTCTCTTTCCTTATTAGGAAAAAACAGAAAATATAATCATAGTCTTCAGGCACTACAACTTTCTGTGAAATTAATCATCTATTCTCCCAACCATATTAAGCATACACGAAAGATGATAATTTCTATGAAAAGTTTACAAGACATACAAATAAACACGGAGTGTTCATAAAAAAAAGAGCGTTATTCCCACTGTTTATACTCGCATCGAAATTATAAAGAAAAATTCCTTTTAGTCTGACTTTTGCACAGTCAGCTAATAAAAAAACTTAGAGGCGAAATTAGACTACAAACACATTTTTCTAACGAAAGATTCCGACAAAAACAAAACAAGAATCTTGTCTAATGATCCACTTGAAATTTGATCGCAGGTCGTCATTATAAAACCGAGGTCGCTCTTCTGGCGGAAGCTCTCTTAATTTAGTACGGTCGGAAAAGTTGAATTTTCTGAAAAATTCATCGTTTGAAATGTCTTTAATCCCGGCAACAAATGAAACATTGTCACGCGATTCAGCATGCCCAAAAACGTATATACCATGTATGTCTGAGGTTCCCAGGCTTCAGGTTTAGATGATAGGCAGGTCCTCGGAGATTGCCTGTAGCGTCAGAACTACGGTAGACGGAGATTTGGGACTTACGTAAAGTTGTAGAGTAACATATGTCGTACCTACATTAGTAAACAGCAGTGGGAGAGAAATCGTCAAACCGAAATTATGCTCGTCCCGCGAGAATTTTGCTAAGAAACTGGCACAACTTACTTCTGCGTGGAGAAAAAACTGCAATATGTCAATTTTGCCTTTTCCCTCAGTCCTGCACGGGAATTATGCTGCTTCGTGTGAGAATTATGCCTAAATCTCAAACATATTATACTACCTTCAGTAGAATTTTGTATGTCTTCATAGAAACTTTTTCTTGCCTACTGTACGAGAATAATGCTTTTCCACGAGAATTATGCTGTTTTGTGTGAGAATTATACATCTAGTCTAGAAGAAATTATGGTCTCTACACGACAATTTTGTATCTCTTCATACAAACTTTTTCTGGCCTAGTCCACGAGAATTATGCATCTAGTCTAGAAGAAATTATGGTCTCTTCACGAGAATTTTGTATCCCTTCATACAAACTTTTTCTTGCCCAGTCGACGACAATAATGCTTTTGCACGAGAATTATGCTGTTTTGCGTGAGAATTATGCATGTAGTCTAGCAGAAATTATGGTCTCTACACGAGAATTTTGTGTCTCTTCATACAAACTTTTTCTTGCCTAGTCCGCGAGAATAATGCTTTTACACGAGAATTATGCTGTTTTGCGTAAGAATTATGCCTAAATGTCAAACATATTATGCTATCTTCACGAGAATTTTGTATCTCTTCATAGAAACGTTTTCTTGCCTAGTCCACGAGAATAATGCTTTTGCACGCGAATTATGCCGTTCTGTGTGTGTGAATTATGCATCTAGTCCGAAATTATGTTCGTCCCACGAGAATTTTGCTAAGAAACTGCCACAACTCACTTCTGCGTGGAGAAAAAACTGCAATATGTCAATTTTGCCTCTTCCCTCAGTGCTGCACGGGAATTATGCTGCTTTATCTGAGAAGTATGCCAAAATCTCAAACATATTATACCACCTTCAGTAGAATTTTGTATGTCTTCATAGAAACTTGCCTAGTCCACGAGAATAATGCTTTTACACGAGAATTATCCTGTTTTGTGTGAGAATTATGAGTGAACACAAAACATATTATGCTATCTTCAAGAGAATTTTGTATCGCTTCATAAAAACGTTTTCTTGCCTAGTCCACGAGAATAATGCTTTTACATGAGAATTATGTAGTTTTTGTGTGAGAATTGTGGATATCATCTGCAACATATTATGCTATCTTCACGAGAATTTTGTATGTGTTTATAGAAATTTTATTGGCTAGGCCACCGGAATAATGTTTTAACGCCAGAATAGTGCTGTTTTCTCAAAGAATTACGCATGTATTCTCGAAGAGATTGTGGTGTCGGCGCGAGAATTTTGTGTCTGTGAATTATTCGAGAAGTAGTCTGTTTGACTTGAGAATTTCTCGGATGTCTCCAGTAGAATTTATGCGTATTGTTCGGAGAATTGTCGTGTTTTGGAGTGATAGTTGTGCTTTGGGTTAATGCTGATTGTGTTCTTTGGAGGGGTAGGCTTATGTGGTCATTTCTGGATGTATGGTATACAGTTTGGTGAATGTTTTGTTATAGAATGGAAACCTGTACGTTTTCTGCGTGTGTAGGTGTGTGAATGTATGGGGTGTACTTTACAGAAAGGCTCTTACCACCGAAAGAATTTTATGTAGTATACTATGAAGAATATATATGAACATGATTCCAATGTGTGATTTTGTCAGCCAAAACTTTTTCGAAAACTTTTGGCCCACCGACTTTCTCGACTTTTTTTAATTTGACCTGTGATGTCCAGAGGCTTTTGTCATTCAGCTGTAATCTGATCCAACGGTCAAAAATTCTGGTTGCGCTCCTGGTTGTGACCGTATGAAAAGTATAAAAATAAAAACAATGAAATTGAACATCTTTAATGAACTTTTCGGGAACTTAGGGAATTTTAGTCGATAGTCTCAAAAGCTTCCTCACGAGCCGCGTCTTTGATGTAGCTATCTTATTTTAATTTTGTTCACGCTAAAACGAGATAAATACTACATGTCATCACTTAGATGGTCTTTGGCTACATCAGTTAAGACCGCCTCCGGGTCAGAAATGCCGATTTTCGTCAAAATATCGATTTTGAGAAAAGAGAGCTAAAAGTGTCTGCTTTCTAATGGCTTAATTCTTGTGTCGATAGGATAGGTTTACACGGTTTATGTGCGGGTTTTCCAGAACCCCTATAACAAAAAAAGTGACTTTTTTCAGGTAACCGTGCCTGCATATGCACACGTCCGTTAGATCCGCCAACCGGAATTCATGTGAACTTCCGGGTGGAGAAACAGTCCGTTTGTCGGGAGAAAAGGTGAGATTCTTGTGCAGAAATACCGAATTTGTCTCGACAGAAGATGAAGTTCTTGTGGAGAAACGCCGAGCTTTTGAGGAAAGGAAACGAAGTTCTTTCCGGCAAAACAGCCAGTTCTTTGTGGAGAATTACCGAGTGTGTCACAAGAAAAGATGAATTTCTTGTGGAAAAATTCCGAGTTTGTTACGAGAGAAGATGAAGTTCTTGTGGACAAACACCGAGCTTTTGAGGAAAGAAATAATAAAAATAACCCGTTTTTCGGTAAAAAGATGACGTTCTTTGTGGAGAATTACCGAGTTTGTCACGAGAAAAGATGAAGTTCCTGTGGGCAAATATCCAGTTTTTCCGGAAGACTAATGAAGCTCTTGTGCAGAAACACCCGGCTTGTTACGAGAGATGATGAAGTTCTTGTGGGTAAACATCGAGTTTTTCTGGGAAACTGATGCAGTTCTTGTGGAGAAACACCCAGTTCTTTACGAGAGAAGTTGAACTTCTTGTGGGGAAATACCCAGTTTTTCCGGAAAACGGGTGAAGTTCTCGTGGAGAAACACCGAGCTTTTGAGGAAAGGAGATTAACTTCTTTGCGGCGGAACAGCCACTTTATTGGTAAAAAGATGAAGTTCTTTGTCTAGAATTACCGAGTATGCCACGAGAAAAGATGAAGTTCTTGTGGGGGAACCATCCGGTTTTTTCCGGAAGACCGATGAAGTTCTTGTGGGGAAACATCGAGTTTGTTACAAGAAAAGATTAAGTTCGGAAAATGGGCTTTAAAAGCTCCACTATTAAACGTTTTCTGTTCGTAATGCGAACCACGAACGTGAAAAGGCGCGTCAAATCCATATCTTATTGTCTATTGTGGATTTTATGGGGGGGAAAGTAGTTTACAAAAACAGCCTACTTTTCAGAAAAAACGGGATTTTTAAGTGTTTTCCTGAGAACCTGGTTAACATTTCGAAACTTTTTGTCCGCTAGTGGAGCTCTGCACATATAGTACCTAATCTGACGGTACCAGCTCATGAAAGTGTTTCAAAAAAAAATGGTGAAAATGCCCACAAAAGGCGGTTTGGCTGGGAAATGGGATTTCCATAGAAGTACACGGCCACCATGCCATTGTTTTAAAACTTTTTAAACGTGATATTCGTCATCAGGAGGTCGAGTTGTACTAGTCCTGTTACTCTCGACCAATTCGGACAAAGTCGATCTAAATGTGGTACGTTCTCGAAAGAACAACCCGCAGCCATTTCCAGTATCTTAATACCCGGTTCTATTCAGTTTTTGATGCTGAATAAGAGAACAGTAGTTTTAAACGGCAGAATGACACGAAAGAGTTATGAGTGAGGGAGGAAAAATAAATCTGAAACTACACTCTGTTTAGAAGCTAAAAACACCACTTTAACTCCCTTGTAGTTACTCATACACAGACTGAATGAAAAGGTCAATATAGCACTGGCAGGTACCCACAAGTGACTTAAAGGATAGTTTTTAGCTTCCAAACCGAGTACAGTTTCAATTCTATTTTTTCTCCCTCACTCATGACTCTTTCTTGACATTCTGCTTCTTAAAACTACTGTTTAATACTGTTAGATACTATACTACTGTAGATACTGTTCTAATTTACATAAATAACAAAAATCTTGTGCATTTTTCCATAAAGGTTTATCAATAAATAGCGCATTCCATGATAAAGCGCATTGGCATATTGGACATACTCGGCGTAATGGACATAATCGGCATAAAAGACACAGTTGGCATATTGGACCTAATCGGCGCCATGGAAATGATCGGCATAAAAGACAGAACGGGCATGTTCGACATAATCGGCATCATGGCCATAATCGGCGTACTGGGCATGATCGGCATAAAAGACACAATGAGCATATTGGACATAATCAGCATACTGGACGTACTCGGCGTAATGCACATAGTCGGCCTCATGGACATGATCCGGATAAAAGTCACAGTTGGCATATTGGACATAATCGGCGTAATGGACATAATCGGCATTATGGACATACGGCCCATCATAGACATGGTTGGCATAAAAGACAAAAGCGGCATACTGGACATAATCGGCATAATTGGCGTGATCGGTATAAAAGACACAACGGGCTTGTTGACCATAATCGGCATAATGGACATAAGCGGCATAACGGGCATAGGCATGGACATACGCGGCATCATGGGCATGATCGGCATAAAAGACACAATGAGCATATTGGACATAATCGGCGTAATGGACATAATTGGCATATTGGACATACGCGGCATCATGGACATGATCGGCATAAAAGACACAATGGGCATATTGGACATGATAGGCATATTGGACATAATCGGCGGAATGGACATGATCGGATAAAAGACATCGGCGTAACAGACATAATCGGCATCATGGACATGATCGGCATAAAAGTCACAGTTGGCATATTGCACATAATCGGCGTAATGGACATGATTGGCATCATGGACATAAGCGGCATCATGGACATACGGCCCATCATGGACATGATCGGCATATTGGGCATAATCGGCGTCATGGACATACGCGCCATCATGGACATTATCGGCATAAATGGCACAATGGGCACATTGGAGATAATCGGCATATTAGACGTAATCGCATACGCGCCATCATGGACATGATCGGCGTAAAAGACACTGTTGGCATATTGGAAATAATCGGTGTAATGGACATACTCGGCATCATGGACATAAGCGGCATAACGGGCATACGCATGGACATACGCGGCATCATGGACATAATCGGTATCATGGACGTACGTGGTATCATGGACATGATCGGCATAAAAGTCACAGTTGGCATATTGAACATAATCGGCGTAAAAGACACTGTTGGCTTATTGGAAATAATCGTGGTAATGGACATACGGCCCATCATAGACATGACTAGCATAAAAGACAAAAGCGGCATACTGGACATAATCGGCATAATTGGCGTGATCGGCATAAAAGACACAACGGGCTTGTTGACCATAATCGGCATAATGGACATAAGCGGCATAACGGGCATAGGCATGGACAGACGCGGCATCATGGACATAATCGGTATCATGGCCACACGCGGCATCATGGACATGATCGGCATAAAAGAGAGAATGGGCAGATTGGACATAATCGGCGTAATGGACATAATCGGTATCATGGACGTACGTGGTATCATGGACATGATCGGCATAAAAGTCACCGAGACAACCGTTAATGACTTGCCCAGGGTCATCCCATGTCTTGTGGCGCCGAGGCTCGAACACAGTACCTTCGGGGTACGTGCCAAACAATTTAATCACACAGCTATATCGGCTGAAACAGGAATGGTTTTAGTAGGAAGGCCTTTTATAGCGCTATGCGTATGAGTTAGAATTATCATCAAGGTAACTCCTAACTGGAGAAGACTCAGACGCTAGAAATTTAAGAAAGGCACTATTTTCATATGGACTATATTCTCCGATGATCAGAATAATAAAAATATATTTTTTAAAATAAGTTACTTATTTCATATGTTTTTATAGCGACGAAATGCTCAAAATTCGGAGTCTAACTATTTTTTTCCGGGCGTATATATCCTACTTACACTCCTATAGGCTAAAAATTATAGAATGTGATCCCGTGTGGTCGATTACGTATGTTCCACTAGATATCAAGACTATCTGAAGCCAATAGATACTCCTAAGGTTCCAAGGAAATCGGATACCACTGTCAAACCATTAAAAACCAAGTTCTTACTTGACTCCCATTTTGAAGAGGACACTTTGGATTATTTGTCCATGAAGAAAATCGAAAATATTTGCAGTTGAAGTTTTTGAGCTATGAGTTGGTTTTTCAAAGATCTTCTCGAAAACCTGCTTTAAAAGGTGTTTTGAAATTAACATCTACCATAAAAGTGTACTCCAAAGTTTCGTCTTTTGAATGGTGAAGATACGAACTCTCTATCACATTCCATTCTCAAGATATTCAAAAATAGTCAGGGGCATTGTGTTTTGAAACGGATAGCAGTTTGGCGAAATCTACTTAGGAAAAAGACGAAACATAGCTGGGAGGTATCTATAGTTCAAATGAGAAGAAAATATTGAGCGAAAAATATGCTATGTGAGCGCGAAAGGTTTTATAGCCGAGTCCGTCAATAAAGATTTATACAAATCATTTATAAGATCGGATCTCTAGGGTTGCAACTACGGGGACCCGTAATAAATTGCACTAAATGTTTATGCAGTTTTCTACCACTTCCTATTCCTAAAGGAATTTCCATTATATGCCAGACGATAGAGAATTTAATTCTGTAAAAACTGTATATTTATTGGACGAGAAAATAAATGATCTCGGAAAATTAGCAGAATTCATCCCACATATAAATGTTTACTATTTATCTCTAAGGAAATTAATTACAACAGTGAAAAGAAAACAGTGCTCTACCACTCAAATGGAGACACCTATACACCAAAAAAACGCTGCAGACTACTAAATTTGGTACTGACGAAAACGTTTGAGTTAACAGATTGCTTTTTAATCGTCAAATATTAGAATCATTAATAGTTCTGTTTATATGTCGAGTGATAAACATCTTTCAATGCCCGCATACCTCAGTCGGTAGAGCGTGAAGCTTTTAATCTCAACGTCCGAGGTTCGAGCCTCAGTAGTTTTTTCTCGTTGAATCATTTGTATGAAATTATGCCCAGGTTTTTTACTTATTCTCCATTTTCTTCTTGATTATATTTATTTCCTGAAATCTAGTGATTTGATTAAGTTCTGAAATGTTCTGGAACACTGATGCCATTTTTGTAACAGCTTTTCCATCTTACTTATTCCAAAAAAGAGTTAGTTAATTATGAAATTTGTTCTACACTGACGTCACTGTTTATATCTAAAGTTCAGCCCAAAAAATCAAACTAATACCTATATTTAATTGAAAAAAACTGATAAAACTAAACATTGTCATTTCATGTCTTGATTCTTGCCACTAAAGTCGCCAGTTTTTTCTCCAATTCGTGGTCGCTTCCAGATGGACATATCAATGATGAATTCCCTACATTCTTCAATATTTGTGCATCGATTTTGACAGCAAATGGTAGATTATAATGTGTTGGATCAATGTAAACCTTCATTATGTTCGTTATCGAATCGATTTGATAAACGGCAAATGGCGTGATATCCCTTCGTGACGCATCTAACTGACCCTCTGTACCAGCGTATTGTAAAATTGCAAGCAGCATAGGATCGATACTTCGATCACAAATAATAGTACAGTCAAAGACATAGTCATTCTCACTATCACTTGCATTTTCGTCGTCACTCTCACCAATGTTTTCTCCGGCTCTCTGCTTTCTTAAGTTGAAGTCGACTTTGTTCAATTTAATACATGATAGAAATGAACGTACTTGCGCCGTTGTAATTTCATCTTCGAAACGAGGGCTGACTGTATGATCCAATCTGAGAACTTCGATACTGTTACGGACACAATTGTATCGATTATTGTCCAATCCTCCAATGAGGTACACACTGTCGATCGTTCGACTTTTATCCTTGGCAAAAAATCTTTTTACGATCCGTTCAATGAATCGTTGAGCATTATCAATTGTTGAACACTTTGTATTGAACAATTCAGTTGAATCAACATGATTAATGAACACTCCTTTGTCTTTCAGTGTGATGATCACCGCGATGCAACTTGCTACACCTGTGGTGGCCAGAACGATCGGATCTGTAGCAGAAGCTCCCATGGCTACATTTTTAACTGACGACATATTGAAAATAAACTTTTCGCACACTGTAACTATCAAAAATGTTTCTTTTCTGCCATTTTTGGCTTAAATATATACGTATATGTCCATCTTCTCTTCTTCTCGTCAATCATTACAACTGTGCATTATTCGTCTTTCTCTCTATATGATCGTGGCTGTCGCTCTTTCAATTGCGCATCTACATGTGTGTGTGTGATCTCTCTTCGATTCTTACTTTTCTCTTGGTAGTATATGAATGAATTGCAATTTTATTCTACGTTTGCAGACCACAATGAGCGACAGGATATCAGTGCATAGTCGTCTCTGCGTCAATTACTTATGAGAAGATGAGGATTTTCTCGACGGAAATTCGCTGAGGATTCTCTATAAATAATTCCCGACTTTACAGTGTACATATATGTGTTACTCCGGAAATTCAAATTTTAATCTCCAGTAGTGGATTTTAAAATTTCTATTTTCACTGGATTCTTGTCGGTGGAAATTCAAATTTTAATCTCCAGTAGTGGATTTTAAAATTTCAATTTTCACTGGATTCTTGTCGGTGGAAATTCAAATTTTAAGTTGAACTAGTACAGAATCAAATTTTAATCTTCACTATAGTAGGATTTTAAATTCTACTAGGCAAAAATGATTGATACTCATATTTCAATCTCTACTGCAGTGGACATAAGAAAGATGTAGTTTTGTAGAACTCATTTCGGGCTACAAAATAGCTATCTTTATTTTTGTCTCAACACATATCATAAACGAAATGGCGGCTTGTAATGACGCAAACCTAGGAAAACCATGTACTTTATTCCGTAAATATTTGACTATGCCTGAACGAAAAGGGTTGCCAACGTGAAAATAATATGGAATATATAGTTTCAGATTCTCTATGGAATGAGACTAACTAAGGCCAGAATAAAATATGCTTCCTTCAAAAACCAGATTTCTGCCAAAATATTCTGAGTAAAATGGTATATCACTCAAAATTTTCTGATTGTTTCTCAACAATCTGGAGAATTCGAGATTTAGCTGAGTAAACCACCCTCTAGCAAAACTGCGTTTTTGGAAAATTGACTTCTCTATATACTAATGCTGTAAAATTTTGACTGGTATACCGTTTTACTCAGAATATTTTATTCTATCAAACTGTATAGAAAAGAAAATTTGAACGGTGTTCCAGAAAACCTGATTGTCAGAGATCGGGTTTTTGAAGGAAGCATTTACTTTTAAAAAATAAACATAAATTTGTTTTCATTTATTCACATTTATTTTCTAAAGTTACAATACACTAACACCCCTCTAGGAGTGTTAATTTTTAATTCTAGAGACATAAAAATGAAAAATGCGGAATATTAGCAAGAGCACATCGCTGTGCGATCTTCAGAAAGTTGCGGTGGAATTCGACTTTGTCTTAATCAGGCCTAACGCAAGAACCTTTTCAGTATCTCTTTGGGATCCGTAAGTGTCATACAACAATAATACTTCTCGAAGAATATCCTGAGAGAACTTTCCGAATCTACTAACATTTCAGATTCTAAACACTAAACGGAGCAGAGATCGTTACAGGATAATTTGTTGCAACGAAGGCTTTGATAGATGCGACAGAAGCAAGAAAAAAATGACCCACTCGCCTTCTTAGAAAATCGCTGTCGAATTTCAAACATGTTGCAAATTATTTATAGAAAATCGATCGATTTTCTACAAATTCTAAAATCGCTGTCGATTTTCCAACTATTTAGAAATTCCTTAAGGATTTTCTGGCAAATGCGAAAAGTCAATTCATAGAAAACTGACCGGATTTTCTAAACAGTCAGAAAATCACTGAGGATTTTATAAAAGTTGATTTAAACCAATTTTTTTATTTTTAAAAGTATAGCAAATGGCAAAGAGTACAAAGAGCACAACGTACTCACTTCAGTAATATTGCAGTATCTATTAAGTAGACAATATAAGTATGCTACGTGGAGAAAGAGAGGGAAGTGACAATAAGAAGAGCAATAAAGGCAAACAACAACTGATAAGCTAATAGAAAAGTACATAAAAAACAAAAATAAGATAAAGAAGGGATGAAGACCCGTAACGGACACATCCAAAACGCTGCTGAGGTGTGTGTAATTAAATAAGAAGAAAATAATAAGGCATGTTTCATAAAGCGATCAATATTTATAATATAGGTTATCATCAATTTGTATATTTCTACTAAATCCACCTGTTGAAGAGTATTATCTTTGAGTAGTAGTAAGGGCAGAGCAACAATCGTATTTGGCAAAAAAGTGGCTATTTGAGTAAATAAAATATTCCGCTCATTTTGATAAGATGGGCATTGCAGTATGTAGTGTTCAATGGTCTCAATCTCTCCACACTCACAAAAAGGATCATCTGTTAGACTCCATTTGTGCAAATCATATTTTAATTGTGTAAGTGCGACAACGACAATACTTGATTTCACTCATGCGCTCTTCTGAAATGGGAAACTTTCGTCTCTGTGCTGTAATGATTTTCTTTTTAAAAGATTTAATGTTTAAGGTCAACGAGATTCCTGGTGGTAATTCAGAATGTTCACGAAACGTTCAGTAGAAAAAGGACTCATCAACTGCTTCCAAACGTCTCTTAGACAATCTTCGTCTATTTGAGTATTGGCTACGAAGAGTATATTTTGTTTGTGGCCTTACTGGGTTAGGAATTAGTTCAAAAAGATAAGATGGTGACTGTTTAACTAAAATAGTTTGAAACTTTGTTAGTCTATCTATTCTGAACCAATTCTCAATCGGTTCCCAATCGATATCAGCTAAAACATCCTTTATATGACTTCCACGAATAGCACCAGTTACTGCAAGTGCAGTGTGGTACTGAGCGCTTTGAAGTCTCTTAATATTTATTTCTGATGTGTTGCCGTAGATGATGTCAGCATAAGTGAAACATGGCATTATGAATGAATTATAAATTATATTTAATGCTTGCCTAGTTAAAATTCTACTAAATAGTTTTAGTAGACCATAAGCTTGTTTATTTTTAACAATATGTAGTTAATCTGTTCGCTCCAGTCTAATTTATTTGTTATAATTAAACCTAAATGCTTGTGAACATCAACATAGTTTAAAACGTCGGTACTAAGAGTTAATATAGGCTTAGTTTTGAGAAAACGTTTTAGAGAAAAACACATAGCTACACATTTATTAGCATTTAATGAGAGCATCCAGTCTTTCGACCACTGACTAATAGTGACGAGATTGTTATTAATCATTGTTGCTGCTCGTGATATATCGATACCTGGAGTATAGAGTGAAACATCATCTGCAAATAACTTAATAGTACCCATAATACCGTTGCACCAATCATCAATATACACTAAGAACAACAACGGTCCAAGAACAGACCCTTGAGGAATACCACGATTTATTACACGTTTAGATGAATATCTACCCTCAACCATTGTGATAATCTCTCTGTCGGACAAATAGCTCCTAAGCCATTCTAATAATGAACTTGGAATACCTTTAGCTTCAAGTTTAGAAAGAAGACCTCTGTGCCAGACACAGTCAAACGCTTTGGAGAAATCCAGAAAAACAGCTAAGCAGCATTCTTTTCTATCGAATGCAGAGTAAATATTATGAACAACGGAGAGAAGTTGACTCACACAAGAATCTTTATGTTTAAAACCGGATTTTCGTTTATTAGCTTATTCAAATATCCGGTTTTCCATAATGATGGAAACTGTCCTGTGGCGAGTGGTTTGTTAAAAACATGAGATAAAATACTTGAGATCAACCAAGAAGCTTCTTTCAGCATTCGAGGAGATACAACTGGTGATGAAGCTTTGAGGCAGTCTAATTTATTCAACAACTCAAGTACTTCTGGCTCAGAGACTAAAAAAACTGACATTTTCATTTTACTCTGCTTAATTTGCTTAGGTGCTTCATTAGCTTCTTGAGACGACATCGTACATATAGATGCAAAATAATCATTAAGAATGTTAGCCTTATCTTTAGAATCCGCCATGAGTTCACCATTACTAGCTCTTATCGATGAGACAGAAGATATGACAGTGTAGCTTTATCAACTAATTGAAAAAGAGAACATGCATTAGAAAAATTAAATAGACTAAGACCTGCAGGAGTAGAGGATTTGTGTACCAGTGCTTACAAATTGTAAGCACTGATGGATGATTTTAATGGTCATTGTAACTTACAATGACCCTTAAAATCATCCATCAGTAGTAAATCATCGTGTTTGTATAAACTGTTGGTGCGTGCTTCTATGGCTATGGGTGTTTTCTTGATACCATACTATAGAAATGATCCCTAAAAGTATGATACTTTGCTTGTACTACTACATCCTGTACATACTCAACGAATGAATGAACGTTCACCCATTGTGGTCTATAACATGCACCTACAAAAATGACCTTAGTTTTTGAGAGTCTAATTCGAAAAAACATCGTTTCATAGTCAATATTTTCCAATGCAAGGAATCTTTCTGCTATCAAATCATTTTTTACATAGACTAATATTCCACCATAAGCGGGAGTTCGCATCTGTCGGTCTTTTGTAAATGGTATTTGGGAATTAGGAATTAGGAGATCATCTGTCGAGATAGAGCCGTTTAACCACGTTTCAACGATGATCACGAACACGGGTTTTCGCTCAGCTACTAAAAGACAAAGAAGGGCAAATTTAGTTATACTTTGTTTTGATGAAATTTTACTCTCGCCTACTACGTCAGCCATGATGCTATTCGCGTTCAATAGAAGACAATCAGTATTGAAACAGCCTGAATCATTTTTATAAAAGTTGAAAAATCCAGATCGATTTTCTATAAAATAGAAAATAATTCCAAATTACAGTGTATGCATTTGTATGATCCAATCGTTATCGATTGGTCGTAGCACTGAGTTAAAGAAGACAATGAAATTAGAGATGAGATGAGTGACTAACGTTATACATTTCCGTTCTGTTTGCGTAACGTTAAAAGAGGTTTCTTTTCTTTTTTGTAACGTTATCCATATATAGTAGTGTTTCATTTAGACGACAGGCAAACTTTCACTTTTACTCATCATATGACTCCACCAAAAAAAAATAAAGTTGATTTTGCGTTGCTGCAAACTGCTATTTCGTATCCAGCACCCTCACCCTCACCTTGACGACTTCCTATTTTTGGCGAGGGGTATTTCCCAAAAGTTTAGGAAAAATGACGCACAAGAAATTCCATGGAAAAATAATATTACGTTGAAAACTTCGAAGTACCCCTACCCTCGTCAAAGACAGAAAATCTTCGGGGTTATCAAGTGTGCTAAATACGAAAAAGCACTTTTCACCAACTCAAAACCAATCTTACTGTTTTTGTCCGGTGAAATGTTTCATATACGTTTTCTTTTCGGTGTGTCCATGCTATTAATCGTTGAAACAAAATCGTGAATTTGTGAAACTCAAACGTAAGGAAGAAGTCACACACTCAAGTAGCCTGGTACTGAGTATAGCGGCTGTTTTAGTATTATCTGACTGCGTTTTTTTTTTCATTCTTATGACACATCCCTTCACATATAGACCGAAGTGTATGGGTACACTTTCACAGAATATGAAATAAACTTTCAATTAATAGAGCCGTATGAAATAAGGAATATCTATCTTTTCACATCTCGGCAAATGTCTATAGAGATTGTTGTAATAGACATCGAGGAAAGATGGGAAATGTAAGAAAATGTATTTACAATTTCTTACATTTTACATTACAATTTCTTACATTTTACATTCTTTCTCAGCTGACCAGACGAAAAAGAGAGTGTAAAAAAAAGACGTCTCTATTTTTCTATTTCCGTTCTATATATCTCGCAGATTGAGAATTTGTTATCTTTTAGTCAGTCAAGATTCCGTTATTTTTTCCATTCTAGCTCGAAAAAAACTTACTTTCATTTTTTAAAGTTATCTCTCACATTTATCAGACGGAATAGAAAAAATAACGGTATCTTAACTAAAAGACAAGAGATTCTCAGTGTGCAAGATTATATAGAACGGAAATAGAAAAATAGAGAGGTCTTTGTTTTACCTTCTCTTTTTCTTTCGGTCAGCTGAGAAAGAATGCTAAATGTATTTTCCATCTACCCCATCTTTGTTCGATGTCTAATATATCGTGTTCTTCTTTCTATCTGCTCTATATATTTCTTTGTTCTTCATCGTCAAAGAAAAGAGAACGGAAAAGGTTTCATTCTATTGCGTTAGATTTTTTGTTATAGACATTTGCCGAGATGTGAAAAGATAGATATTCCTTATTTGATATGGCTCTAATGAATATGAAAGTAGTGGAACCAAAACGAATAATGTTATTCATTTGGTCCCTTTCTGTAGTCAAACGTTAGGCATATGTAGAAAGAAAGGAAAAGACGTCTACGTCTTAGAAATGTGTGATTGTATTTTTGACGAACACCATCTCATCTCTAAATGGAATACATGAAGCGTCATCTGCATATGAAATCGTTGATTAAACGCATTAACGCATGGACAGACCGAAAGGAAAACGCATATATGAGATGAATGAAAGTAAAAGTTTCGTTAGTCATTCTCCTTTCGTCCAAATGAAACAGTACTATATATGGACAACGTTACAAAAAAGAAAAGAAATCTCTTTCAACGTTACGGAAACAGAGCGGAAATCTATAACGTTAATCACTCATCTCATCTCTAATTCCATTGTCTTGCATAGCTTGGTGCGACGACCAACCGATAACGATTAAGTCATACAAATGCATATATATATATATAAATATCTAAGCGATGTGAATGATGCAGTAACAAAAGATGGAAAAGCTGATTAGTAACGGTAGATTTACACAATTCGTTTTTTTCTCATTTTTCAAGTAACCTATTGTGCTTTTTATTCTTGTTTCCATTTTAGAGCCAAGTAACCTACTCTTGCTGCCAAACGAGCTGTTTTATTATCATATTTTCATATATCTTTGTTCAACCGATCTGATACATGCATTTGGTAAACTTAAGAATTACCGTATGATTTCGCTTCTCAGCGTATACATTCGTCATCTTGACCTGTCCATCAAATCTGATACGGTTTCAACGGATGAATGGCTACATTTTCATGCTGATCGAATTGTATCACTTCGAATTAATGATATTCAACTTAATGATCGTCTTTTGTCTATATTTGTAATACTCAGTCGTATTGAACTTCAGTCTGTCTGGTCGCAAGATATCTTCACATTGAGTCAACTGAAATCACAACCACTCTGCTTTTCATTTCCAAAACTCAACGAATCTGAAACACACGATCATTTGTTGGCATCTGTGTGGCATCGAGATAGTCACATAAAAGATTTATCAATTGCATATTGTTTTACATTCAAAGCACATCATTTTTCTCCATCGTCGTCGCTCACTCCAAGTCAACATCTCATTCGTCTCTCACTCGTCATCAGTCATATCGTCTTGGCAATCGATTTGATGCCATTTATACCTGTTGTGGAGCATTTGGAGATTCGACTTTGTGATAGACATAATCATGCTGGTATATATCGACCATTACATGAAGAAATTTTTCAAGCTTGTACATGGCCTTCTCGCGTCAAAGTCTTACGTTTGCTTGCTTACAATCAAATTACAAATACGTACAATGTTTGTTCGTTCATTCGAGGCTTTTCATCATCACTCGAAAACTTATCATTGTATTTTACCACCACTTCATCTTATCTTCTGTCTAGTTGGCGAAATTTCGAACGTTTTTTATTGAATTATTTGCCTCACATTAAACGGCTCGATTTCTGTGTTCATAGTCGTGCGCATGAAACTCCTGCTCGCCGAACATTCGACAGATGGAGAGAAAAACAACATGTGGTTTCGATTTATCACGAAGAACATCTTATGCATACACGATTCACCTTTCCATTTGTATTTGACTCATTGGAGCATGTCACCGATGATTTTGTTGATTTTCACTCGAATATTAATCGTGCCGATTTTCTCTTCTCACTTCCGACTGTAATCAACATTTCATTTCGTTCTCGAGAAAAATTGAGTTTGAATCTATTCAAATTCATTCGTCATGTTTGTCCTTATCTTCGTCAAATTACTTTCAAAGACTTTTGTCAGTTAAATGACGATTTGATTGAAGATAGTCGATTGACTATTCCAACTCTTGTTCAACTATGTCTTGATGATGTGTACTATAATAGCTGTAATGATAGTTTACGACGTCTTCTTCATCTCGCACCTAATCTAGAACATTTGATAATTCCAGTTAAATTTATTCGTCTCATGAGTATGATCGAGAATGATGTCGGACAATTTACGTCTATTCGTCGACTGACCATAATCGAGCACTGTTGTGAAGGAGCCGTCATCGACTACAGCTTCTGCTCAGACAAGAGTGAAAAAACGATGCGAAACATTTTTCCCAATGCAGATATCACCTATCAAATTAAAGGTGATAATTACTAAGTCGGTTGTTTCGTAAACATGTTCATAGACAGTGTGAATAACAGAATTCGAAACGCTTCTGAATTCTGGTGTATACGTGTACACTGTCCATTTTATTTTTTATTATTTTTGTATTTAAAATACATCGTTGTTATAATCCTTTTAAGAAACATTTATTTAAGAGTAGGTTGGGGTAATTCGGGACAGCCTCTCTAATCTTCAGAGTGTTTTGAGCGTACCTGAAGCATTTTTACTCGGGAAAAAACGATACCTCGCAAGTGGATAGACCGAACATTTCTCTATCTACTAATGTAAAAATCTTGTTAAAGTTCAATAAGATTAATTAGTACGCAACAATTTCCAGAGAGCTCCTATCAAGTGTCTCGAATTACCCCATCGGGGAAGTCCAGCAAAAACGGCTGGAAGAAAGTAAAACAACTTTTTTCAACGGCAAAGTTTTACTTTTCTAATTAAAAATTATACCAACTTGTAGAGAATTTTGAGCTCCATCTACTTTTGTAAATTGCTAGTCCTTTGGACATATCCCCGATTAATCAGCTAGAAATTACGAAAACGAACGAACATAGTCATTTTTTTCATTTTTCTTGTTTGGGGTAATTATGGACACTCAGCTATTTTGCATAGGGCAATTCGGGACAGTATGTGCAAATCGCACGGGATAGACAGAAGACACTTTCTGCTGTCTTTTAGAAACCCATTTTGATACCATGGTAAACGACACAGTTGTTCAGAACCATGAGTTCTATCATATGTATAAAAACCGGATAGAAAAAGTGTATTTTCATCGTTTCCTGTAGAGAATATGAATACTGCTGTTTTTGAACGGTCTTTCGTTCATTAAAATTAAAGGAAAACTTAAACTATAACCTTAATTAAGAATCAGCTCACGAACAAGTTCAACTTTTCATAAACCTCGTACAATTCTCTTCATTTTACATCAAACGTTTTTTAAAAACAGCTCACCTAAGGTCAACTATTCCCAGTGAATAGTCAAGACTCGGGATTATATTTCATACTTATATTTTCTAGTATTTCCAATGAAAATACGAGAATGTTAAACAGATTATACACTGCATGGATTGAATTGAATAATTGTAGTGAGAAATCTGTTGCAATAGCTGAATTTGTAAATACTCATTGATCAGCTATATGAAAATAAAATTATGAATATCCATTAAAAAGTAAATAGATTAATGGTTATGAATGATGGATAAGGTTGATTTTTTAAGATTCGTAGCGATTTTTCGCAAAACTTGACCCGTCCAGTGTTTTCAAACGTTTTCATACGAAAAGATCACTTAAAATTTCTTAACCATGATATTCTTGGTCAGCGTTAAATTCTCTATTCAATGATGTATAGACAGGCCAAAAATGAAATAGTGCTCGTTCCTCGAATTTGGAACGCTTTAAATTTTTTCTGTTATAACATTCACCTGCATGGAAAAATGGGTTTTCTTTGCAATTAAAAACCATTTCGAAGGTTTTGTGAGTATTGAATTGGTCAAAGCATTACCTCGAGCCAGAAAAAAATGAGTGTCATATAAGGTGCACGTAAAGCAAATTTCGAGCACTTTTTGTTTTTCGCTAAAAGGTACAGCATCCGATGCAGAATTTGATGCTGATCACGAATATCACCTTGAAAGTTCAAAAATGTTTTGTTTTGGGGGGAGAAAATTGCAAAATACTGAAAACCTCCAAAA